GTACAGTGTTGATAATGCCTGTAAAATCCCTTTCACTTTATAATGTAGCATAATCATAGGAGCCACAGCTTATCATATTTATATGTTCTTCCCACGTGCAACTAGAGGAGATTACACAAGGGCAAAGGCCACTGGGAGAGTGTCCTCCTAAGATTCTTGCACCACAGATGTTAGGAAATTAAACCAGGATGGAGTCTACCAACCTCCATTTCATTCTCCACATCATCCACTCAACTACTGGAAGATCACCACCATACTGTGATTGTTATTTTGGGAACTCCTACCAGTTTCTTTTAAATACTGCAGTTTTGGTTTGTGATAGAGATATCGCTCCACATACACTAGTTCTAGCAGAACTATTTTTATTTCTTCTGTTAAAAAATACTTCTATCAAGACATTCCAGGACTAATTATTTGGAGCAACAACTGGCTGACTACTAAAATATAGTCATAATCAAGTCAAGCACTTCAATCACTATGTCATGCACACATCCTAAGCCCAAGTCACTTATACTCTCACTCTGTACCTTGATAATAATGTAAAACAACAGCTCAACAGTGGAACTTGTTGTATCACATATTGACAGTTTCTTTCCCAAAATCTAGCTTAGAAAAGGTTTTAAATATTAATTCTGTCAACTGTATTGCTGTCTCTGTCTCACAGCTAGGTGTCAGTTGTAGATTGATAAGCTTGCCTTCATCCAAGTTGTTAATATAAATGTTGACAGGACAGAGGCAATAGGGCTGGTTATTCACTTTCAATTTTCACCTGTTCACATTAATCCCTCATTGTTTGGGGAGTGAGCAGGGGGAAATGTCTTCTCATGGAGGGTAAGGAATATACGACATTATGTGATTTAATCTAAGCACTCAAAGTGCCCAATTTTTCAAATCAAGCCTTCACATATTATTTTACTGTGGAATGATAGAACTCCAGCAATTATCATCCTCCAAGTTTTAATCAGAGAAATTGGAAATATGCTCAACATCACATTTACCTAATGTGCATATGTCTGGGTTTTTCAATTTGCACATCATAAATGCAAGGCAAATGAACTTCTTTTTATAGTACTTTCTTTATTTTGTACATGCTCCTCCCAAAACTTGTGAGTCAGGAGGGTGACTAGCATTATTTTCAGGCAAGCAGCTAGGTGCAGAAGGTTCCCACCACTATGTGGCTGGCAGCAGAGCTCAGCCCAGCCGCACATCCACTGTCTCAGAGTTCAGAGCTCCTCCACAGTTTTGCAGAAGGAAATGAGAATGAGACCAAATGCCCTCCTAGCAGTTAGGAATCGCTCTCATTTGGGCTGCTCTCACTTGGAATTTTCACATCTAGGCAGGGGGTATCCATTTGGACCAGTCACTCAGACACAGTGGTCGGGCTTTGTGACTAATGAGGGTAGAGGCTTCCCTCAGGGTTCACTGAGGGAAGGCAAACACCCTCTGCAAAAAAGAAATGCTGAGTGCATATGGTCAGGGAGGAACCTGGAGTGGAGGCTGCCTAGAACAGTGCACCTCCAGGTGTGCCCAGCTGCGAAGAGACAGAATGATATCCACCCCCAGGAGGGTAACGGTGTGAAATACTACTGTTATTCATTGGAACATCCCATCCTTTCCTATGAGGTTCAGTGGAGTCAGGAGGGATCTGTGCATGCCTCCTTGTACAGATACACTTCTACACGTACATGCATAACACACACAGGAAGGAGTTCATAGGCCCATAAGTGTGGGAAATGTAGACCATACTAAGAACTGCGATGTACCTGAGACCCTAAGCAGCCCTGTTGTTTCTGCCTACATTTTTCCCCGTGTATTTCTCAGACCTAAGTGACAGGGAGGAAAAAAAACAAAACCTTTCTAGAAAACCAAAAGAAACCTTTCTAAAAAACCTCTTGACACCTTTCACAGGAGACATTTTTAGAAAAGCTATATCTGTTTATTTAATTCTCATCACAGTGCCCAGTAGTACTGAGTATTACCAATGCACCTGCCTGGAAACTCAGGCAGGGGGACTGGCCTCACCGAACTGGACACCAGCCCAGATCAGCCACAGCCATTCCATGCCCTTTCCGGGCTTCGGCTCTGGGTTCTACAGGCCTCGTGAAGGGGCTGTCTGTCCTCTGAGGCCCTCAAGAGGAGATGAGAAAAGCTGTCTGCAAAAGAAAGGGGCAAGCTTTTGGGTAGAGAGGAAAAGGAGAAAGAGTCAACCAGGCATTGCGGATTCATCCCAGCCCTCTATGAGGCTGAGGCAGGAAGATTGCAAGTTCCAGTCCCACCTGTGCAACTTAGCAAAACCACGTCATAAAATAAAAAATTTAAAAATGGGCAGGAGATGTAGCTGGTGCAAAAATCCTAGGTTCAATGCCTAGTACTGAAAATGTTTTTAAAAAGATAAAAGAAAAAAAAAGACTCTCAGAGTTAGACAAAGTGGGAAAGGTGGGCTTGGGTGGAGTAGGTTGAAAAGAAAATCGAGGTCTGTAAAGCGGAGGTGTCCATCGCCCAGGCTGTCCTGCAGGTGGAAAGAAACAGTGCTGGGCAAACCCCACCAAGTGTCCAGGGCAGGAACATTAGCTGCCCGCCCGCCCCCGCAGGAGTTAGGGCCTGAGAACAGGAGACAGGGGCGGTGCTTGAGTTCCACTCTAGAAACTAAGACGAAGCTTCATATCGGTACTGAGCGCAGCAAAACAACCCGAGACTGCCCTTGAATAACTCATGGGCCTTCCCCGTGCGCCTAGCTTTTTCCTGGGTGTTTGACTGAAGGAATTATTTGCTCCAAAGTGTCTGCTTCTCACCTGAGATGGTCTCACACCTTCCCAAATGACTGCTGCTTTAAAACGATGAATGCAAGTAGAAGTCAGGTTGGGCGGAGGAGAATCCCTTTCGGGGAAGGAGGAGCTTCAAGAGCCGCAGACTGGCAGCTGCCAGGCGAGGACTGTGTCATGACCGGGTTTACTTTGACTTATTCATTGTTTTTAAAAATTCAGTTCTAAAATCCACAACTGGACTATTTCCTGTGAAAACCCAAACGATTGGCTTCCCTTCAAAATGCTGTAGATCTGACCACCCTGCGCTGCTGGCTTGCAGGAGAGCTCTTGGCTTCCCTGGAGCTGAGTCCCAGCTTCCTCTTCATTCAGCCTGTGCACTGAGGTCCTTCGTTCCCACGGACCCACCTGACCCTTTGGGTTACCTAATCGGCTGGAGTAGGATTTGCCTCTATGCTGTCTGCCCAAGAGTAAGGTTTGTGAAAGAGAAATCGGCAGCCAGCTCCACTCCCCAGAGTTCCCTGAGCCTGAGGGCAGTGTGGTGAGATCCCAAATAGAGTGGTTTGTTTTGGTGGATGTCTCTGGAAGTGTCTGATCATTCACAGAAAAGTAGGAATGAAGAAGGAAGAATCCTGGGACGCTGCCTCCCTCCCTGAGCCTGGGGGAGTAAAACACAGAGGTACAGTCTCACGATACCGCATCTAGTTAGTGAAGAGGAAAGATCAGCGTAAGATTTTCCTGAACACCTACCTGCATGTTCAAAATACATCGGACCTGGCACAGAGTCACTCAGCAATGAACACAGGTAAATAGATTTTTTTTAATGCCTTTAGTCTAAAACTTGTAAAGCGTTGTACCAGCACAGAGCTCAGCATGGCATCGTAGTGTGAAAGTATGGACCACATTTGTAATGTTAAATCCAGCAGCCACATTAAAGAAGTAAAAATAAGCAGGTGGAATTAATTTTCGTAGTTGATTCTACTCAACACAGCCTATCTAAAATAATGGCATTTCAACATGTAAGCAATATGAAAACCATTCATAGGACAGTTTTCATTTTTTACAAAGTTCTACAGAATCTGATAAGTATTTGACACATAGAGCATATTTCCATTTGGACCTTCTACTTTTCCAGTACTCAAAAACTGCAGGAGGCCAGGGACTGCCTTATTGGACCGCACAGCTATAGATGTAATCTACATTACATCACGTTGTTTTTCTTAAATTAACTGAGGACACTAGGTGGTGAGAGCAGGTGTGGATTTCCCACAGCACTCATAGGCAGACTGGGAGGCCAGACAGGAGACGGAAACAGATACCCTTCTGATGTGAGAACCATGTCCTCTAGGCTCTATTTGGCCCCCTGCAGCCCTCTGTTGCTTCCCATCTCCTTCTCTCATTGCCTAACTGGGAGCCCTGTTGCAGTGTGCAGCCTGGCATGTAAAGGGTCAAGGAGTAGCTGGATTCCCAGCCTGTCCTTTGCAGGCTCATGACCTGCAGCAAGTTACTTAATCTCCCTGGTCTCAGATTTCTTTTCTATCAAATACAATTAGCTCCTTCATACTGAGGCCTGAGGATTAAATCATAAATGCAAACTCCTAGGCACCAAATAGACACTGTAAGAGTTTTCAATTTTTAATGATTATTTTTTGAGATTTATATATGTTTGCAAGAAGTGGCAGCAGAAAAAAAAAAAATCAAAGATGTGAGAAGTTCTTTTTAATATGTGCTAAAATCCCAGGCTGTGCATTATTTCTTCAGCACTTGGTGTTCACAATTTCTCTTGGTCTTAGTGAAAAGTATGACCCCAGCCAAAGCATGTGAGCTCAGGTTATGCAGGCACAGCAAAAGAATAGTCAGACAAGAAAGCATTTCCATTTGCACCAGTTGCATGGTGAAATTACATGTCCAATTGCACTGTGACCTAGACAATGAGACACATCCGGATGAGCACCATGTGACAGTGTACTCTGACGGACTCTGCAAATGTCTAGGAAGCATCACCTGGACCACCAGCTATGGGGATGGCAAGAGCTCTACCACTCAGAGAACACAATGTCCTCAGCACCTGTAGATTCCCCCTCAGTATGATTGTGCCTTGCAGCTCTCACAAAGCCCTACCAGGCTTCACCTTTTCCACGTCCCAGGATAGCATCACCAGAGCTGACGTCTGTCCTCTCATTTACCTGAGTGTGTACCACAGCTCCCAGACTTGGGGAAAATGAAAAGGACACTCACCAGCTCATTCTCTTCTCCTTGGTTGAGTAAAGCCCGATGCTCCTTCTGACTGTTCCCCTCCATCTACAGCAGTCCGGTTAGGGTCCCTCCTGGCCAGCTCCTTGGGGGAAATGTTAAAAGCACCTGTACGTCTTTGAACCAGTCGCTACTTGTCACTGCTGTTCTCAGGTGCTTATAAAATCTGTTGGCACACACCTTGCTTGTTAGACCCACAATGGAAAGAGAGGAAATCCTCTCCTCAGCCACAGGATTGGTCTGTTAATCTATCCGTTTAATGTGTGTTTTTCTTCCTTGTGTTTATTTACTAAGCTAGATGTGAGTGCCTCCAGATTTAAGGAGTGACGGATGCAAGTTATTGAGCTAGAAAAATAAACAATTTCACATGCTGTCCATAAATATCTCAGCCAATGAATGGGAATGGCTACTTTGCTAAAAACCTGAGAAAGAAAGGATCAACCAATGAGTGATAAGTAAAACCTCTATCAAATTAAAAAAAAAAAATGAGCCCCATAATAGTATTGGCAAAGAGAACTGATGGAAGGAAGGTTGGCTCATGACGGAGAATCAGGAATCTTTCTGGAATCAGAAAACCAAGATTTCTAATCCTTGCATGACTGACAACCTTGAAAAAAAATCACTTAAAATCTGAATTTCAGGTTTCTAGTATGTGAAATGTCAATAATAATTATAAGGTTAATAGCAGGATATAAGATGATATTTATAAAAGGCCAACTGTAACCTCTATGGCATTCAATAAGAGATAAATAATCATCATCATGATTAACACTAATCAAGAAAAGAGATCTTTTTAAAAGTAAAAATAATAATAAATTCATTTCTTTTCCTGTCCCTTTACAGTTTCCTTTTACAGTTTGCAAAAAGTTTCCAAATAAATGAAATATATGGAGGAAGAAGGATATGGAAAGGACATAGGCCAAATTTCCAGATTATGTAATTACCTTTGAATTTGATATTTTCACTAAAAAATGAGAAAACTGGGCCAGTCTAGTGTTAAATTGTTCATGTTAAAAACTTGTCATTTCAGAGCCTCTATTTTGCCCATTGCACTCAGTGAAATATTTGCCACTACAACCATGGTAGAAAATTTACTTAGTGAAAACTGTTAGGGGCTGGTACTTGATTCTTTCCATTGACTGACACTGTTATTGGTTGCCTTGAGCATACGTGTCTATCATAGCGCTCAGGAGAGGTCAAAGCATTGCCCAGTGCAAAAACATGAGGCTGAGGAGAATACAGAAACAGCTACAGCTTTCAGCGTTTCATGCCAGTAAGGATCCTGAGGTGCCCATGCTAAAGAAACCTGTGTTACCACGAATGTTGCTGTCAAATCTAAAGAAGAGCTCAAGTTTGGAGAAAAGAGTTCTGGTTTCAGGAAAATTTAACTAAAGACCTGAGTGGCAGTTATTCATTTTTACTCATCAACTATCTACTCATATTTCTTGCTAAAAGAACATCAGTTTTTTTCTGGGCAACATGATGTCAACTAAAAGTACTAACGATGACTCACAATTTGTGTAAAAGTAGACACGGGCCCTTGATTTAAACAATAAAATATCAGTTAAAGACAGCTTGAGGCAAGGGTCTTGTGGGAAAGATCATCCTGTGGCTGAAAGGGACCGGGCATTTTTGCTTGTGTGTTTGTTTTCTGTTCTTTCCTTTTCTTCTTCCTTTGATAATTCATGCAGGAGCAGGGGGAATGTCTCCATCTCTGGTTCATGATGCTTATTAAAAGAAGACCTAATGGGCATGGTGGAGTGGGTTAGAACCACGCCTCAACTTCCAACTTGGCAAAAACAGGTTTCCTAATCCCTACTTTCCATGGCCTAAAGGGAAACTAATAGGTGTTCAATCCAGGTGTGGATGTCTTTACACTTCAACTCTTGCCGTTTGCTCTATCGACCACTGGAGGGTTACTAGAGCATTCTGCTCCATGAACACCATTGAGCATTTACACCAGCAGAATAGCTGACTGCTATAACAATTTTCAATGGTGTAACTTAGTAGGAGTGTGGTCTAAGTTTGTGGCGGTAAGAAGGTATTAGTGGAAGTATTGTGTCTTCTTTGCAGTGCTTTAGTGAACAAGGTTCTTTCCTTCTCTGCCTCCACTTTCTTCAACATGTGGTTTCCAAGGCAGCTGTGGTGTTATGAGAGTTTGTGTAAAAGTTAGTAGGTGAAAATGTCTAGGGACTAGTCCTGGAAGAGGCACTTTGTACTTCACTAAACACTCGTTACAACTCAGTCAGATGCAAAGTTGGCTCAGCATGTGATCTACATTATTCTAGGAAGAACAGGATGTTGGATTGGTGGTCACCTAGCAGTCTCTGCCACACAGACCCTGTGATAATCTCAGAGAGCAGTAAAGTAGAAGATTATACTGGCTCTCAAAGGACTCACAACCTGGTGAAATAGGAAAATCATGAATAAGTGACCGTTCATGCAAAACAGAAGTGAGAGAGGCTTCCCCCAGACTCTCAAGAAGCTCCATATGGGTGACAGGGCATGCAGTAGCCCATGTCATCTCATGAACTGAGTGGATCTTGTTTGCTCTTTGCAACAGCCACAAAGGTGAAAAAGACACCTGAATGTGGGTCTTGACCAATCCTCTATTTGAAGTGCAAAATCAAACACCTGTTAACCAATAGATCACATAGATACACCAACCATCCCTTGCTTCTTTCATCCCTAACCACCACTGGACCAAAACAACCCGTGCGTTCTCCACAGCTTGAACAAAGCAGAGTGAGCTCCCTTTAATTAAAATAAAGAATCCTTTTGCCAGCTCAAGGTGAAAGGGTGACTGTGGCCTTTCACTTTTTTTGCTTTAAATTTCAATTTTGGAGATCAATAAATCAAGCATTTGGCGATAAGTGTCATATTGTACATATGTAGAAGTAAGGTCACATCTTATCTGTAGATAGAAAAGGAGAGAAAATGTCCAAACTCTAAAAAGGTATCTTTCCATATTACCTCCCAACTTCTCACCCTGTGAGTTAATTTAACAAACAGTATTAGGACTGAAGAGGAGACAGAAGTGAATTAGACAATGATCCTACCCTTCATGAATTCAGACTCTAGAAAGGAAACAAGATGGAGTTGTAATGAGTCTTTAGTGAAGAATGATGTAGTGGAGAGCACTGGACCAGAGAAAGTGCTGGAAAAGAAAAGAGAAGCTCAAGCTCAAACTCAAAGGATGCGGGTGTCTAGCCTGCTATTCTGTTATGGTCACAGAGAACTTGGAGAATCTGATAAAATGTGTAGATTTTTTCTTTACCAAAAATTAATATACATTCACATAAATTTGTATTTATATCAAGTTTTACTTAGCCATTTTCTGATCCAATCCTTGCATTCATAGTTCTTCATTAATTTGGTGAAAATATGCTTTGCATACTTTTCATCAAGCACTATTCAGGCTGTTGGGAGGGTAGCAGTGATCAAAGGAGGTAGATAAAAGCTGCTGCCCACATGAAGCTGACAGTGCAGTGAGGAAAGACAAAGGCACAAAACAAATAGAATGCACAGTTGAGCAGACAGTGGTGTTCTGGGGAGGAAATATTGTTAGGAACATAAATAGGCGGTGCTGGTGGGGTGGAAAATGAGGCAGGTAAGGGGAAGAAGGGCAAGTGGACTTGCATTTTAAGTAAGGTCTTCAGGGAAGGCTCTGCAAAGACCTGAAGAGCTGAGAGCGTATGTCAAAAGCTTTGCCCACTTTGCTACCTGGGAAAACAGGGTTCCAGGAAAAAGGAATATCAAGCATCAAAACCCTGAAGTGGAGGATCGGTAGGGAAACCAGCACGCCTAGGACTGTGTGTGCAGGAGACAAAGGCAGGATTTGAGGCAGTGAGCTAACACCGTAACCTAGCTAATTTGGCACTCAGGAAAATCTTAATCTATCTCCTTCT